TCTTGAACATGTCAAAAATAAAGGTAACGCCCCTTCGCCTGATATCCCCGATTTTGTCTTATAATTTAGTCCGAGCTCGAACTCGAAGACTTTCTACCTCCGGATGACAAGCGAAAACAGGAAACAGGTGGGTTGAAACACTCTGTATCTGGACGGGTGCATTGAACTTGGTTATAGATCTTACGGAACGATTTGACCACACCTTTTTATGTGGTGATCTCAACTTTCGATTAGAGATGACTCGCATACACGCTGAGTGGCTCATCAGCCGCAAAGGTATGAAATGATCCCTCGCGGAATGTACTGGTGGCTCACAACATTATATATCAGAATACGCCAAAGCACAAGAATGGGATCAATTAAGAAGGATTATGAAGAGTTTGGGGACCAACGTCTTCACTGGCTTCCAAGAGGCCCCCATCAACTTCCCCCCTACTTTCAAGTACGACGTCCTCCGTACTCTAAAGGGAAGCAAGCGCGTGAGAAAGGACGCCAGGATGAGAGGAAAAATACTGTCTGAAGTTGAGGAAGTTACACATCACGAAGCCGAGTCATCAACGATGGATATTACTCTCAAGGAAAATACATCAGCAATTGCGGAAGATGATGACAGTTCTTCTACCAGTTCCGCGTCCATTTCGATTCAATCCAGAAGTGCGGTAGATAACGATGATGAAGCATCGTTAAATGGTAGTGATGCTGGAGCGAAGAATGGAGGATCGAATACCACGCCATACCCAGACTTGGAGAGGACCGCAAAGCATGCCGTTCATGTCGCCAGAAGGAGGTGGTGGACGGTGTTCCGATCCACTGTCAGCCTACCAACGCCAGAGCAGCTTTCTTCCAAGAAGGCGGCACATAAAGCGAAGTCTCCGTCGATCGGCAGCAAGTCTGGTTCTATTGGTCCTGCGTCGGCCCAGGAAAAGGTGCTGATTACCCCAGTACAAGCAGGGAATCCTACGACGACCTCGGTTTTCACCAAGTCTGACTTGACGTTGGATAATAAAGCCTTAAAACTACCGCAACCGCCTGCTAATGTCCGAGCTAGTACCTCACTCGATATTCCACTTAGGCCTTCGAACGATGGCCCGTCTTCTGTCATGATGACGAGATCCATAACTTCAAAGACTTCGAGTAGCGCACCAGGAATTTCAAGGGCACTGATAGGAGAGGCTTCAGTGGATGTTGAGGATAAAGGTGTCTATGACACATCCAGTAAACGACGTGTTCCTAGCTGGTGAGAGGATTTACCCTAAAGTGTCCAATTTGTCTCATTACTGACCGTCACACATCAGGTGTGACCGAATCCTATACAAATCCACAATAACTCTTCCCCTAAGTCCTGCTTTGGAGACACCTACTGTGGAACTAGGGTTAACCACAATTCCTGTCGAGTCTCCTCCTGTGTCCCGGCGCAATACTCCCAAGATAGGAACGTTCTTCCACGCACTCAAATCGAAAAAGCGGTCCAGCACTGGTCAATCGTCATCGACTCAGATAGTTAACAGCCCTTCCACTACGAGCAAGCAAACTACAATGAGCACTAATATTGAATCCACGAACCCTAATGAACCTACTGGTATGTCAACAGCCAACATCCCTGCCCTAGCCAGACTTGCCAATGAAGCGGGTGAAGCGGAATCTCCAACGTCTATCCCTACCACACCTCAGCCTTATCAAGCAACAGACAAAATGTCACGTAGGATTACCTCACCTATCATGGCTCGGAACGATTCGAGTGCATCAACTGCTGTTCGTGCAACTCACAATCGAAGGAGGTCATTAAGCGCTACTATTCCTCGCCCGAATGAACCAATCGAGCTGATTGGACGGCCATTACCTGCTTCTGCGTCCACACCGCCGGTACTACCCCTAGCCTTCTCAGATGGACCACCCTCCGCAAATGACGCCACTCTGAACAAGGATGGATCGTTACCAAGTGGTGGAAGCTTTAGAGGTCTAAGGAGATTTCTAAGTTTCCTTCCTGGATCTTTTAGCGCTGCTCCCACTCCTCCAGCTTCTGCAGCACCGCCAACCGAGGAACCTCTTGCGGTGCACGGACCTCCCCTCAAGATTTTCAGGAAGGGAGAGATACGATACTTGGAATATAATACGCTTTCTGATAAGGAAATGAGGCAGCTAGAGGGCAGAAGTGATCATAGACCGGTCATCGGACAGTTTGCCGTATACATCTAAAACCGGAGATTCTACGATGTTATCTTTATTATCTTTACTGGATTCGAGTACATTATTCATTTCAATAGAAATCTTTACGTATAGATGGAGTGTATACTCTTTTTTGAAATGTGGTTTAGTATTTGCTGTCGAAATAAATGCCAAGCCGCAAGCGGCACGCAAGGAGACAAAGCAAACTAATCTCCTTCCCCGACCTCTGACGAGGGATCAGTGGGCTAGTCAGCAAGAGCATAATTGTGATCGCATTCCTCGCTCTCGACTGCTCTTTCCCGTTGGCAATACACCCCGCGGACGCTACGGGCGAACATTAACCATGGCTAATTGTGTACGATCACCAACAGCGACAATTTTTACCACTTCGACTTATTCAACAGTATCGGTATCGACTAGTATCTCTAATGAAGTTAATACGGTGACGGATTCCATCGTCTCCACTAGCACCCGGTGTGATGTTGAGGCTACCCCTTCAGGATCTGGAGCACCTACCTGTGTCTCTTCGACGGTGATAACGACGACGATTTATAGCACTTGTAAGTTGAATTTTCTGAGCTTAATCGCTGAACTTTGCCCGTTGCGCCCAGTCCTAGTCTATATGGGGCTTGCACAGCCAAAGGCTTCCTTTCCCGAATCATTAAGCGTTCATACTCCCGAACGCTCTATCAAACATCATTATCACGTTCCATTATGACCACAATTTCACAATGATATCTACTTCAGGAGGAATAAAGAACTGACTCGGCTTTTATAGCGGTGACCACTATCCCTCATACTAGCCTAACCACCGTTCCCGTCTTTGTGCCTCAGACCACGCCAATACAAACCCTATATGCACCTTGTTCCGACGACGACTCAACACCAGACCCAACACCTAATCCACCCAGCACCGAAGTGACGACGTATACGTCGACTTCGACCGTTGTCACAACGGACGAACGTGGTACACATACCTCAGTGAGCATAGTAACAGGGACCACCAGTGGTTTGAATTCGGGCGGCAAATCTGGCGGTAGCTCCCCGAATATCCCTGCCATCGTTGGTGGCGTTGTTGGCGGGACACTGGGTCTGATTGCAATAATTGCCCTGGTTTGGTACCTCCTCTGGAGGAGAGAGCAGATGAAGGATCTCTTCGACGATGATGAAGATGAAGATACTTCGCACGGCTTGAAGCCACGAGGCGTCATGATGAGAGACGGGAGGAGAGGCCGACGCAGCCTCAACCTGGACGACGAAGTGAAGTCTGAAACCAATCACCCTTACCAATATGGTATGGTAGGCAGTATTTCACCGAGCCCTAAACCCGGAATGCACAGCCAGCAATCCTCCCTTGGATATCAACACCGACGAAGCGGCTCGAGAGATGCTCTCATGCGAAGTGGCGCTCCATCTCCTCCCTCAGTATCTCCCAATCGGCTGAGTGCACACTTGCCGAGCACTGGAAGTCAGGGGCGAGCTTCATACAACAGCAACATGCGACCTGACTCCGTCATGATGGCCCAGCCAATGAACCCTCATCAGCAATGGACTAGTGAAGATACTCCCTGGACCCAGCCTCCTCGCCCATCGTCATCACTACTCGAAGCTCCTAATGTATACCCTCCTGGTCACAACGGATTCTATCAACAGTACGGGCCAATGGAATCCATTCCATCACAGACGCAGGTGAATCTTGGACAAGCAAATAATGCCCAACCAGCTATTGCCCACCAGGCATTGTATGAGGCAGCCGGCTTGGGCACTGCGTCGCCACCTACAAGTTCGTCAGTCCCAGTGACCGCATTACCTCCTCCTGGTGCTGGTGGAGCACGCCCTTTCACCGAATGGAGAGCTAGTGATATACAGTCGGCGGTGATGGCTGGTGCAGATCGAGCAGCAGCCAGTGTCAGCCCACCACCAAACACCAGTGGCTCTGAAAATGTAGGATTTGGCAGACAACGTGTCGAGAAAAGTCCTCGAGCTGAAAGGGTCACATCTCCGGTGGTACAACATCAAGATGCAGGGAGAGTCCCAGATACTCAAAGCAACCCAACAGCCTCTAATGCCAATGCGAATAGCGATGCTCCTCCGGCATATTCTCAATCATAACGACTTTTACTGAGTGATAACTCAAAAAAGGGAACTGGAGAAGAACTCTTCCGATCACCATTCTATTTTCTTCCATAAGAAATACATGTCCGCATCCCCAACTTTCCCAGCTCGTAATTATCTTTAAACCTCGTATCTACACCTCTACCCTTTAACCCATGTTCTACCTTGTCTATGATTGGCAAGCTTGGGTCCCGGACTTTTCTCTTTTTTGCTTCGCACTCATGGACTTTGCATTCTACATTGGCACCAGCCTGGTTATAGTACAAAATATAGCCATGTAATTATTCTCGAATCTAATGTACGCAGTCAGAATATAAACATTCCAGGCACGCTTATCCTCTTGGTCGGCGAACAATCCCGGCCAGAGCTGGCTTTGAGGACGACGATTTGGAGGAAAGGAAAGGATCACTAGATTTGAGAGAATTCTTCAAAAGTGATGCTGCTAACGAGCCGTCCTTTTTAGTGGTCTTTCCGACCTCTGCAATGGTCCTTCGTCGTTTGGTCCGTTCGTTAGCCTCCCATTCTGTTCTCTCCTTTGCCCACAGATTTTTGGCCTCCTCTTTCACCTCTGACTCTTCAACAAGTTTTAAGGTGGATGGGAGGGAGTATTTATCTTTGACGGCTTCCTCCTCTTCCCTCTTTCGTTTATCGACCTTTTTGACCTCTCGAAACTGCTTACGAACTCGCTTAGAGAGTTCGTATGGGTCGGTGTTATATGTGTCAGAAAGTTCCTGCAATGATTCTATTCTTGGCGCGCCAATCTCCTTTGCTTTGCGAAGGGCATCTGACGTCTTTTCTAGTTGTGCCAATGGATCACTTGGTCCTGCTTTGCTAGGGTCGTTCTCTATAGCGTTCATTTAGCCAGGAGTCATGGGCTAGAGAATAAATTTACCATGTATGGCAAAGCCTCCATTCTCTTCTGGATTCCATTCCTCGTCTTTCTGTCGAGCACCACTGGTAACTACATATCTTG